CCTGGAATGTATGTGTTGACACATGGTGTGCATTCCTGGCGTTCTTGGACCTAAAAGCTAGTGTGCCATCTCAAAATCCAGCGCACTGCCCTCCATACCTCTAGGCGCCACCTAAGTAAACAGATTCAAGGCATCATTTACAGTTAACACACGGTTGTTGGAGAACTAAATTCAAGTTTTTTCTGTGTTACGAAACATTTTTCATAGAGCCAACTCGAGTTTTTAGACGTGGTCAGTCATTCCCTTATTCGCAGTGCCACTTGTCTTCTACATGGTGAGTGGTTTAACCCTTGGCCCGGCCCTGGGGATGGTTGTGGATACAAGACGGGGAAGGTGTGATCTGTGGTCCTTTGTTATATTTATAGTACTTATCTAGTTTCCGTCCGTGACAGATTCGATAAAACCTAGGAAACTATGGAACAACACGCATCTAGATTTGTCATGCGATCAGTGTTATTCTGCCGGAGTCAAAAATCTGCCACTAACGGGGGTTGAAACTCTAAGAGCCCTGCAGGACTGGCCTGGAATAGATCGATGAAAATCACGGTTTTCAAAATTGCCGGAGTCTTTTTAACTCACAAGAGATACCGGGATAGGGGATTATCCATTGCCCGGTCCCTAGGATGCGATAGAGGCAGAATAGGGAAGGAAGAATTGTGCGCAGTCCGCTTTAAGCAGTGCCCTGCCATCCATCTGGAATGGATCGGATGAAACTACGGTTTTGCAGAACTACCGGAGCCTTTCTAACTCTTGAGAGATTCTTGGATAAGGAATTTCCCCTGCCCCCGGTCGCCAAGTTTCGGGTGGAGGCAGAATGGGAAAAGAAGAATATCGCACGGCCCGTAGCCCGTTGTTATTCGAACTGCTTTCGCATCCGCCTGAAAGAGATGAGAAGAAACCACGAGAACAAGTGATCAGACCAGTGGACCATCTGAATGTTACTGAGACAGCGTTGCAGTATCAACCAGGTACACAATTGGTGTCGACAAGAGGTTATCCTCAGGACTCGAACCTATCACAGCCCGGTGAAACTGCGAACTCGTAAGCATACGCTGTCACATCCAGGAGTTTGAGTAAAGATCTGATTTCGTTCTTCTTGCCCAAAGGTCATAAAACCTCACAATTCTGTTGACGGAAAAGCACTAGGTATCGCAGCAATGAATTTCCATTTTCCCACTAGGGCTTTTATCCAGCCCTTTACGTCCCAATGGGTCCCATTTTCGACCGGTCACTAGACACCCACACACTTTCGGGCCACTCTGATCTGGGGTCAGCAGAACACGAGGCCCTCCACGGCAACACATACATGAGGGGCAAAGGACAAGCGTCCCTGTTCAAGACGGGGCTCCAACCTGCGACCCTTCGGACCGAAGCGCTGAGTCGATAGCCTCTTAGTCACTTCGGGCATGCAGTTGGGGGTGTATTCCAATGTTAAGATAAAATTAGGAATTGAAATCATGATTCAGAAGGTGATACAGCAATCTACAATGGAATTACTTTTCTCAAAGTGGAGAAAATGAAATGTCGATGACTGTCGTATTATATTACTGTTTATAATCACAAAACGTAAACTCACCCCAGAGACGATCGCTGATTCAAGACTGAATCACCCAACAAAGGTTTTGAAACTGTTTATTTTATGCCTTAGTTTTGCAGGGCGGCGGATTTAGATGACTTACTACGTTGTGTAACAGGATAAACATGTTTCAAATTACCCATTGGAAGATTAAATATTAATAAATATTTGCAAGCTTTCGCGTAGCTGATTTCTGGCATCAGTCACCCATTATACAGTCAATGTGTGCATTTTGTGAAAGTATATTTTCACCTGACACCCCATATCTCAATATGGAAAAATATGTTAAGTATATATATGAGGACCGTTATTTCAAATCATATTACGTTCACTTCTGAAAAAAAATCATCTGATATCAAGGTTTCTTCGGCAGTAATCTTACACCCCCGAGAAAAAGAATGCGGGGATCAGAATAAGAACACGAATATATTATTCATACCATGGCGTACTATCTCAGCATCATTCAAAGGCTTATCACTAGGGAGAGGATTTAGATGACCTAAAACGTTGCTAAAAATTATTAATAAAATGGTCTTAAAATGTTTTTTAAATGCCCTAAAAATAGAGAAAAATGACATAAAAAATCGATCAAAACCACTTCAGATGAACAACTCAGGCTGTTGGATATGTTACTGATGAAATCTTCTTCGTTCTGTTCAAGAGAAATCGGCTCGCAAACGTTCGTTTTAGTCTGTTCTTTAAAAGAAAATCTCTGCCTTTATTTATCGCGATATCGACCGAACTGACAATGTAGCTAACAGGGGTCACAGGAACTTTAGATTAAATAGAACTCCCAACGGCTAACTATTCAATTTTCGAAAGTTCAGAGTTAATCGAAAATGAAATCTGTACCATTCTTTGAAGCGTCCTTTTTTATTTCAGAGGAAACAATTTAAATAAAAAAATGGAGCGGTTTTTGAGAAAATACATTTTTTTAAATTGCACTAATTTTAAACACAATTTACACGAAAATGACTGTTTTGTAATGTACTTGACCCTGTTTAAAGAGCTGTTTGTTTAAAGAACAGATTCGGTTAAGGTTAAAAATTCCTATCTTCAATTTTATAGTACTAATATGTTAAATTTTGCAATTTTCGCACTTTTTGTGCGAATTTAAAAAAGAAATAAAATTCCGAGGGCTTTCATTTACATCGATCGGGGAATATAAATTTTGGAGAAAGTCGGCTTAACGGTTAAGGAGAGGCGTATCTTCATATTCAGGTGCACATTGCAAACATAGAATTTGAGCCTTTGTCAGGACACTTTAAAGTACGGTTGTGATTTGTTTTAGTGAGTGTACTCTAAAAAGCGTCCCTTTGCCTGGCGCCCATGGCGCGTGCCGAGTCTTCCATACAGTAGATACGGCTCTGCTGTTTAGGCAGCGCTTATTTGGAGTGAGTTCCACAGGAGGGGTTCGCGGGGCTCGCATCCGATCGGCTCCAACATGGCCCCAATTCTAGCAGCTTGTTGCAAAGGCCCGCAAACAAGGATGCAACTCAGGGGAGAAAAAAGTTGCGAAATTTACTTTTATTACCTGTCAGAAAGAACGAGCTAGCTAGAACAAAAGGTCAACACAATGAATACATATAAAACGAGAAGGCATGAAACTGCAGGGAACAGAATTAAATTATTGCCGATGGGTGTAATTGGAGGGAGGAGATATTGTGTTCCGCGCCAGTTTAGAGCATCTTTCGTACAGGCGCGCCCTTTGGCCATCTGTTGCGGCCGAAGCTTTATTATTTCCTCTCCGGGTATCTCAGAGAGTAATGCTCAAGCTGTCGGGAGAGTAGAACGTGGTGTCTCGTTAGTACAAGATATTACCGGAGGGAAATAACCTTCAAGGTCTAGACGAGGTTACGTGCAGTAGCAGCCCATCATAGAATAGAAAATATGCAGAAAGGAAACTTTACGGCGGTTTTTTCGATCTCCGAGGTCCGCCGAAGTTGCGTTGGGCGCCATACTGAAATCGAGTTATCACGAAACTTGCACATACGTAGGTATAGATATAGAATACCCTACCTCCAAAGTGAAAGAAACAGTATTGAAGTTTTAAGGAGGTAGTCTGCTGGATTGTATTCCTGTAGTGAAGCACTATAATATGTCAATGAGGGAAATAGGTATCAAAGGACAGGCAATAATGCGATAAAATACCTCGTTCACCATTCCTCTAACGCATTAACTATACAAGTAAGTACGAATTGAATATTCACATCGACACTTAATGTTGAGCAACAATCATCGACACTTAATATTGAGCATCTAAAAAGTGCAAAATGACACATTCCATACAACCAGAAGACAGAAACGGGGACAGAGTGTCAGTCAGCCAATGCCACGTAGGGTATGGGTGTCCCAGGTGTCATTGGCGCAGCAACTTACTCGGTTTCAACATGGCGGACAGAACATAAATTAACGCGCTGAATGCAGGGAAGTTTCTATCCTGTGATGCCATCGCGAATGGAAAGAAAGACTGCATGCGTCACCGCAGGAGCAAAAGCAGCTCAGGGCACTGTTACACCGCACGGGGCACATTCCCTGACGTCTAGCCACTGGTGGTTACACACAGGCACACAGATTTAGTCACAATTGGTGCCTAATCTCGAATGCACACCATTGTAACCTTTCTTTGGGATAAATTACCAGCAAAGGGCGGACATTTCAAACGCCCCGCGTTTGAGGGTTATTTTTCCGTTAAAAGCCGGCAACTACATTGCAGAGAGAAAGCCTAATTTGCCTAAGAATACACACTCGAACTACTTTCAAAATGGCCATGACAACGCAGCACCCCGGACCCTCCAAACGGCTGAAGCAAGCGCTCCATTACCACCCTTCAATTGTCTTTATTTGAAGATATTGGTTTATTTCATCTAAAGGCGCTAGGAAGCTCATTGTTTGAAAACCAGCGGGCGACGCATCGGAGTGGCACATCGCCTCGCTCCTGAAAACAGAGCCAATTGCTCCTGAAAACAGAGCTCGAAGATTGACTGTACCAAATTGTGGGATAATGTACGGTAGCTGATTCATTTTCAAAGGGCCGAGGCGCCATATTTTTCATGATCCCGCATTTTGAAAATATAGGGACATATTGCAAATTATATGTTGAAATATACAACGAAATGCGAGTTTTCTTTATATACGTAACGATATGTACAATATCTTGAAATACGGGCAAACATGGATAATCAAATATTTTCCAATAAATTCAGAAAGTCTAATTTATAAGCTTATAACAAACATTCGAATGTAATTAAGGAATAAGAAAATTGGTAGAGTAACGTAATTGGAGAGCCCCAAGGACTGTCCGAGCTCGCCAAACGCCTTCGCGGCGCTCTGACCTGCGGAGCCTGCTGACTCACCTCAGCTGACGCCTGAGCCGCATCACGTGACCGGTGGAGTATAAAGGCTCCGCCGGCCGAGAAAGCTCAGTGCGTTTCCGGAGCCGCCAGCCGTCGCCGCGCCGTGGATGGTCCACGATCCTCCACACAATGTCCACGACGGGTTCTGATCATCCTCGCGTCGCCGCGAATGACGCCGACGGGACACACAAGACCTACGTCACATTGGTAATGGCGGTTTTCTCGAGCCTCCTCCTGCTTTATGCTTGCTGCGCGTCCCATGTTGCAATTGTAACCATTCTAAGGACGTCTCTGCAGGATGTCTTTTCGCAACTGATGCCGTGGATCAACAGGGCGGCTTCCGGGGAATCGCGTCATTGGAAAGCAGGTCAGTGGCACAACAAATCACTTTGTGTATTGGACTTTTCAGCTGTCGATAAATGAAATATATAGTATATTATATTATATATTCATATATATTATGAAAATAAAATATATATATATATATACATACATACTATATATATATATACATACATACATACATACATACATACATACATACTATATATATATACATACATACATACATACTATATATATATATATATATATATTTTATATATAATATATATATATATATATATAGAGAGAGAGAGAGAGAGAGAGAGAGACGAATGGCACTTCAACACTGTTGAAATCAGCCTTGGAATATTCTTCCGTACAGATAATGATCATGTACGGATACCAATGTCGCTATTATAACAACGATCACAAATATTCCTATGAAGGGCGAACAGGTGAGCGCTACGTACATGGGACGGGCAACGTACACTCCACCGCGCTTGGTTCCACGCTCTCTGCTGGTGCTGACAGTCAGCTAGTGTAGTATGTGGTGCTTCTCTCAAACCTTTGTCAACCAATAACACAATGATGATCAGGTGTGTCCTGCAGCTACCATTGCATCTGCAGATTCCATTAATACCATGAGTATCCCTATCCCCAACATGAAAATTCCTAGATTGGGCTGTAGTCAACTAATCAATGGTCACCAAAATATTAATAATTCTAGAGATTCAGTTCCATCCTGTGTGCCGATCCCTGCAGCCGGAAGCAGGCCAACTATTTGGTGGAAATACCGCATCCGTCGGAATCGTCACCGAAGTCTTGACCGTCACCGTCACCGAAGTCATTCTACTGAAACCACGTAGAGGCTTCACACTCTTCAGACGCAGTAGATTCACCAGTTGACATTATGGTGTCCCTTATGAGACTGTTTACGACCAATATCTCTAATACTGAAGCTACTTCTGGCGTTGATACTGCATCTTTTGATACCTAGTAGTAGTGGTAGCGATAGTGATAGTGGTAGTGATAGTGATAGTGATAGCGATACTGATAGTGATCGTGGCACATAGATCGCGTGCGATTCATGGTGATCTCCCTAAGGGGGTATTCAAAGCTTATACTTATCAAACCGTCGAAGATTTTTCTCCATTGGTGTTGTCAATGGACATTCTAATATTTTTTATATAACGTCACCAGCACCAATACGAGCTTGTCTTCAGTAGCCTTTCCCATAATAGTTGTCCGTATCGATTTCGACCTACTGAATTCTTCTGAATATAGCAATAATTCTGGAGTATCATTAGCGTTTAATGGAATTGTGATGTGCCGTCACCTGAAACCTGTAGACTTGTGTTGATCGACAGAATTTGTGCTTTTAATAATTCTACAACCAACACCAATGGAGCCTTAACTTATGGTAATGGTGGAACTTATTATATGCCATTCATAATTAGTACACTCTTTAATTATTACATCATCAACGTCTCCAGGGCTGTAGAAAATACTCTTTCTAGCACTGCTGATTCACCGTCAGAAATTAAGTCTTCTAAACGTTGACACGAACGTCATTACCGATGCTGGGAATTTCTCTACTTGCATGGGTACTTTATTCGCTGACACCACTCCTGATAAACCATTGAGCGGGTTTGTATTCAACTCCTCAACTAATACTACTAAATACTTGTAGAATACTAATAGAATTTTGTCTATTGATAACAACACCAAACAAATCAAAAAGTCGACACCAAGTGCCCCTGTTCCAGATAATGCCATTACTGACGTCACAGATTTTGACTTTGATATTACGTCCGCTGGTCTTATCTATGGAGCCCCATTTCATTATCCTTCATTCAAGACGATCGCACCGCCTCTTGGTTGACTTGTTCGACCGGGCACGGTTAAAATGTGATGTTGGGTTATTCTGCCACTAACGCCACCACCACCGGACCGCACGTTGCCGGGTACGGTTGTTCCTGCACCTACAGATCGCATCCAACACTCCCACGGAGGCATTTCATCCTCCAGTAGTACTGTACCTGCATCTGTACACACAATCTCAGACAATCAAAATAAAATATTCCATCACATCCAATACTGAAGGAATGTCGTCCATTGCGGTACTGTTTCTATATTTGAACACACCCGCTGTGCCTATCCAAACAATATTTCCTTTGCACTCAACCCTTCAACTGGAGGAATTTCGTCTTTCGTTGCATCTCAAAACACAATCTAAGAATACTTCCGTCACATCCAATTCATCTTCTGAAGAATTCCCTTATTTAGCGGTACTGTTACTGAATCTGCCAACATCAGTTCTTTCAATCCAAGAAAGATATCGATACAACATTTCAACTGGAGAAATTTCCTGCTCTAATGCTACTGTAGTAGTATTGTAAACACTGGCTGTGGCAAACAAAACAATATTTCCGTCGTATCCAACCCTTATATTTGAGGAGTTTCGTATTTTAGCGCTACGTACGTTTTGCTGTATATACACACATCAGTTATAGCACCCCCAATAATATTTCCTTTACACCGAACATCACCTAGAGAAGTTCGCCTCCTGCCACTGACGCAGACGTTTCTGGGTCTGGTGTCGTCATCGTGCCGGTCGAGGGTTCGGTGCCAGCTCAGCCCCACTCTCCGAAACGTCCCCACGTCGATCAGCTCTTGTGGGAGGGGAGACCACCCTCACGATATCGCCCAAAAAGAATCTGCGTTTTCATGCGTTTTTATTCTTGGTGACTAAAAATATAAGTATCCCAGTCGTTTTCTGGTCTCATTGTGTCGTAATTAGTTGGGGATTAATTGATTAATTGGTGACAGAAATCATAACCCCCCACTTATTCCCGTATAAACATATCACTCATGTTGAATTTGATGTTTCATGATACATTTATATCAAACAGCGTTGATGTAGTGTAACTCTCGAAAAAAAACTGTAAAGCAAACAGTTTTCTTAGTTATTGTGCAAAGTTGAAAATGGACCCTCCTCATAAAGCTGTAGTTATCTACCATTCACCCTACTGCAAACTTGTGTTGAGAGAAATAAGATAGAGAACACGTTATTGGCATACTTGCGTAACTGCGCTCAATGAAGATAAGCGATTTGAGATACCACTGATTCCTGGACTGGGAACCGTCTGGAAAACCCGGTTACTCGGCCTCGAGCCCCTAGCGACGGGATAAAAAGTACAGACTGCGACGTGACCAGACAAAAAACACAAAGTTTACGGAGGATTACTTCAGAAACGCTCAATGCCAAAGAAAGACGAGTTGCAAAGACGCATTAATTTTTTTAAAACACGTACATTATTCTACTTTCCTCCTGATTTGCAAACCATGGTTCAGGACAGAATTGTTTTCTACATCACGTATCACGTTACATTCAGACACAATTTAAAATAAGTTAGTGTATGTGACGACGACACGGAAATATCAACAATCCAAATTTTCTTCAAGAAAAACACATGCTTCTTTAAAAACGTCAAATGTTTGATGCAGTAGTGGCACAGAAAATAATTTTTACATTGTCTTCGATACCCCAATGCGTTTGCACATTCCAAACAGCAATAGTGTGCTTTTTACCAGAAGAATTTCGCAATTTTAGAAACGCGATGAACTGCTCACTGTCCCTAAATGTAACCAAGTTTACCAACCCAATGAACAGTTTCATATATATATATTATTCTTAAAAGCAGGCATAATTGTTTCTTACCGTTCTCTTCCCTTCGTGTGTCTGATTCAAAGAATAGAAAATTTATTACTAGAGAGTTACTCGGATATTGTGACCAAGTAACTCTACTGTCGCCTGAAGGATGTATGTAGAATCTCACCCTCAGCTGGCATCTACCTTACAGCAGCCATTAGTTTAGGTGTAAAGAAAGTTTTGGTGCCACGCGCCTTACAGCATTCTGTACTGATGTACTCTCCAAAGTATCTCCTACACATTCACCAACGTTAATTTCATCTGAACTTGCAAGTTGATTATCTGTATCTTCATATGATGAAGGAGGTACCGCAAAAAATGTAAACTCTTCACACTATTGCTTCTCTTTCCTTTTCTTTTCTAGTAATGTTATTTATCTCGCCCTTTTTTTCGCGAGATTTTGGTCTACTCCAGCAAGATAGCTTTTAGGTCCTGGCTCTCTCTGGCAAAATAAAAACATTCTCTCTACTAACATCGTAATAATTTAGGCAAAACATTCAGATGTGCATTATCAAATAGATTGTTCAATTTTTTTTAAACTCCTCTTCACGCTGTTTAAAAATAGCTGCACACTTGTTTGCGTTTTTTTGTTGTAATTTTCTCCACTCCGAATACAAGTTAATAAGTATTTCCGAACAATGCTTATTAACTCGTGGAATTCTTGCTTTCTCCCAAAATATCATGCACTCATAAACCACAAGTTTAGCATTTTCACGAACTGGAAATTTTACCTACCTTTTATTGTGAAATAAAACATCAAGTACTTGTTTATTTGATGGTAAATTGTGTCCATTTATTTGATGTTTTATATTAATCATTAACATTATCTCTTAATAAAACACACATTCCTCGGCACGGCGTATGGCACTAATATATAATATTACGTTAGATTTGTGAGCTGTAAACCCGTGTGACACGATCGATTAAAATTCATGTACTAACAGACTGCCAGATGATATTCAACGATTAAAATTAACACACACGTTACCGGGTCAAATAAGATATTTTCTGTTGTTCAACTACTTGTATACTGTTAGAGACTACACTAAGAATCAGAGGGAAATAATACTTATTTTAGCGCCAAAATTTAATGAATAGTTAACCAGTTGTACCACTGTATAATTCTAAAATAATAAATGTGTCTATAACAAGTATTGTACCTCAGCTTCTGGGTCTAGACACCCAACTCGATAAAGTTTTTCGTCTTTTTTCCCCCGATCATTTCAGCAAGTGGTGATTTGGCGCCGTGTTCTACTCGAGATATTAATGTAGCCTCACCACCTGTGCACGTTTTCTTGAGCTCAGTGCTGAAATAAGATATTCAAATAATC